ATTATAAACAATCGTTGGAATTTCTTAAACATTATCTCCCCCTCTTGCTATATCCTGTACAGTTGTGGCGATGAAGGTGAAGGAATACAAAATATAGTGCTAATAATAGTTTTTGTTACTAGGCCTGTGTATTTCCTGGTCCCCTTCCTCTTACTTGCTACATGTTTTCTTCACTGTCATGGTGTGCCACATGCCATAGTAGTGGTGCATTGTACTGACTTACATTGTATTGATTTCAAGTTGCCACAAAGAAATGGTCTTATGGAATGGTGACATACCTTAACGTGGTCTAAGATTCTAGGGGCACGTCTAGACTTGCTTTCATTTTCAAAAGAAGATATGCAAATTTGGCATGAATTTGCATATCTTCTTCTGATCACTTTTTCAAAAGAGGCTCTTTCAAAAAAAGAGTAGTCTAGACACGGTTCTTTAGAGAAAAAAACTCCTTTTTCGAAAGAACCATTCTTTCTAAAAAAATGTGGTTTACATGGTTCTTTCGAAAAAGGGGTTTTTTCTTGAAAGAACCACGTCTAGACTACATTCTTTTTCGAAAACCTCTTTCAAAACAGCAGTTGGCAGAAGATATGCGGCGAATTTGCATATCTTCTTTCAAAAGTGAAAGCAAGTCTAGAGGGTGATCTTGATAGCATCATGTGATGCCATAATGCCAGGGTGACTGGCAATATGGTGGAGGGATGTGTGATGCTAAGAGCATAAGAATGATCATACTGGGTCAGACCAAAGATCCATCTAGCCCAGTATCCTGTCTACCAACAGTGGCCAATACCAGATGCCCCAGAGAGAGGGAACTCAACTGGTAATCCCCACATTATCCCTCTGCTGTCACCCATTTCCTGACAAACAGAAGCTAGGGACATCATTCCTACCCATCCTAGCTAATAGTCATTGATGGACCTAACCTCCATGAATCTATCTAGCTGTCTTTTGAACCGTGTTAAAATCCTGGTCTTTACCACATCCTCTGACAAGGAGTTCCACAGGTTGACTGTGTGCTGAGTGAAGAAAAACTTCCTTTTGTTTGTTTTAAACTTGCTGCCTATTCATTTCATTTGGTGACCCCTAGTTCTTATATTGTGGGAATAAGTAAATAACTTTTTCTTATTCACTTTTTCCACATCAGTCATGATTTTATAGACCTCTATCATATCCCCCCTTAATCTCCTCTTTTCTAAGATGAAAAAATTATGCTATGCTAGATTGATGTGTAGCATGACTGTTAGATATATTGTGGTGGTGGCTGGTAACCCCACATAGATTGGGTCCCCGGTGTGCTAGGTGATAGTGATAACAGAGAATAAGAGTGTCTTTGTCCTGAAAATCTGACAGTCTAAATAGACAAGACAGACAAAGGAAACAGAAGCATAGAAAGCTGAAGTGATTTGTCCAAATTTACACAGCAGACCAGTGACTGAGCTGAGAATATATGATGCTGCAACACTGGGATTATGTGGCAAAGTGGGACAGGAATCTTCAATGCTGTGGTGACATGAAAGGGTGGTATGGACTAAGTGTACAGGGGAGGTATTTGGGTTGGGAGGCCCGGGCTGTAATGAGGTGACAACATGTGGCAACATAGTAGGGGTCTATGTGATGGCATGAGTAGCATATTCCTATGTGGTGCAACATGATATGAAAGCAACATGTGACAGCATGGTGCACACTGTTTGACTCCAAGATGCGAGCAGCATGTGATATAAAGCTGTGTGATGCTGTAGCATTGGAGTGTTATAATGGTGTGGTACTGGGGTGATGTGAGGCTGTGGTAGGGGGCAGTGTGACACCCTGGCTCTGAGGTGCAATGTAACACCATGGCATGCGGATGAGGTGTGATGATTTGCACAGGGTTAAAATGATGATGTGTCTGGGGCATAGTGTGATGCCTTGGCACTGAAGCAGTGTGAGGGCATGGTGGGGGTTATGTGAAAGTGAGGGGTGGCATGGCACTGTGGTGGGACAGTGTGTGACTCTCTGGCACCAAGATAGTGTGATGACATGGTGAGGATGATGTAAGAAGGGGATGGTTGGGGACATTGGGGTGTGATGGCACTGAGGGCATGTGTGTGCATGTGTACTGCAGTGGGATGGTGGTGGGCAGGTATGACACTCTGGTACTGGGCAAGTGTGAAGGCATTTTAGGGCAGAGGGAACCCTGGACCTGGGTAGTTTGAGAGTGAGGTGGTGTGTGGAGTGAGACCCTAGCACTGGGGTGGTGCAAAGGTGTGGATTGTTACAATAAGAGGTCCTGATATGGGCAGTATGAGGGTGTTGTGGGGGGTGGAGTGATGCTCTTGCACAAGGGCCAGGAAAGGGTAGTATGATGCTATAAGGAGTGGCGGTATGATGCCATGATCCTAGGGAAGTGTGACACTGTAGTGGGGAGGTGGAACTCCTTGGTGCAGGTGTGGTCAGCGGAGGAATGATGCCTGGACACAGGGGTGGTATGAGTGTGTCTTGGGGGCAGAGTGACACCTTGCTATGATTATTATTTGGTATGTGTAATCTGGTCAAGCCAAACCACAGTGTTCTTATCTACCACGCTCTAGACACAAAGACTTCCGGGAAGTTGTCATTTTGTAGTCCTCAACAACATATCTCATGTTTATGGCTGCCCACATGGACATACTGCACTGTTTCTGAAATGCCATCAAAATTCTGTTGTAGCACAAATTCCATGTCTGATGCAAAAACCAGTTCAGAAGGCTCCATTGCCTTATTGATAAACCAAATCTGTGTTAATGAGTGGGGTCTGAGAAAAGATATGTCATTTTCTCTGGATCATGAAATTTGCTATGTGTCCTCTGTTGTAAATCTTTCATATGGTAAACTTAACCACAATGTGCTACAGGAGGGCAGACAACCATATGGTGGATTAAACAAGCTTTTATTTAACAGTAGATGTGGCATAGCAGGCACTTCCATTACAAGCTTAGCCTCTCTGTGAATGCTTGACAGAGCAATATTGCAGAACAATGGTAATCATAATAGAGAAGTAATGCCCCTGGCACTTGAGTGGTGTGAGGGCATGGAGGGTGGGATGTGCTAACACCAGGGCACTATAAGGGAGAGGTCATTGTTACACTTTGACATTGGAGTACTGGGAGGGCCTGGTGGTGGTGAGCTGGTATGATCCCCTGGCACTGAGGCAGTCAGTGCGTGTTGCGGGAGTGGGGGAATGCCCTGGCAGAGGACTGGTTGGAGAGTATTGCTGAGGACAGTGTGACCCCTTGGCACTGGGATGATTGTGTGAGAGTGTGTATGGGGGCATCGTGATGCTCTGGGGTATTGTGAGGGGGAGTATAAATCGGGGGAGGGGAGTAATGACGCCATGGGGACGGTGTGAGGGCAGGGAGATAATGACACTGGGAGGCAGGGTGAGGGGCGTGTGACGCTATGGAGGGTGCTTTCATGTGGGGGGGGGTAATGACGCTGTGGCGGGGCGGTGTGAGGGAGGGTATGACGCGGGAAGGGGGGTAATGAAGCCGTGGGGGGCGGTGTGAGGGGGGGGATGACGCGGGAAGGGGGGTAATGAAGCCG